AAAAATGATTAAAAATCATTTTTAAGTAGCTTCTGATCATAAGAAAACCGATTAATAATAATATTATGAAAAAAAAAATTTTTTCAATGTTTAATAAAGCTTTATAATTTTTCACCTTAGTAAATTGTTAATACCAAAATGAAAATTAACAATTTTTTAATTTTTCCAACGGGAATCTATTCTAAGACCTTTGAAAAATAGCTCCACGGAAGGAAAAAATTCTTAGATTAATAGTTTAACAATTATCGCACTTGCAATGTTAATGTTCGTGCTGAAAAAACTTGTTAATTAATTAATGGATAACTTATTGAAAAATCGCGATAAAAATTTTTTGACCACGGATTATTATTCATTGATCTATCCTAAAGGCACCTGAATTTTTTCAATTTTTAATTTTCATATTTAATAAGTTTAAATAATATTTATTCATTTAAGGTCCGAAGGGGGCGTGGCTTGCGCAAGCCAGAGTACCCGTTTTCGTGCGTATTTTCAACTCTCTGGGAAAATTATTAATATTAGTCCTACTATTCCGGGAGTCAAAACTTTTTTTAGGAAATTTTCTCCTCTTTTCGAATCTTTTTTCAAATTTGAAAAACCTTTATTAGTTAATGAGATATTTGCAGAAAACTAAACCCCCCTTTTTTTAGTTATTTGTTAATAACTTTTGTAATTTTTACTTGCGGAACTTCATTGTTTTTCGAAAACCATCTAAATTCCATTCTGAATCGAATGACACCTCAATTATAATTTTCGGAGACTGCTGAAAAAAGTTGACCAAAAAGGCACTTGTTGACTAGACTAATTGTTAATCATAACCTGCAGCGGCCACATACTTCTTTTTGATTTTCTGAATATTGGTGCTCCATCTGTACTGACATTCAGATATATAGTTTTTGCGTCGAGATTTGCGAATTTTAAAAATAATTCTGAATCAGTAACATTCGCAATTGTAGATTTTTTACAATAATTATTTTCAAAACTATCATTTATAGATAAATGAATGTCTTTTAATTTCAAAATCTTCTTTAATTGTAACTCAAAATCAATTGACAGATAAAAATTTTTATTCAGAGAATTCAGTTTAATTTTCTCTTTACATTGTTCGAATCCCGGGAAAAAATGAATTTGCCTAATCATATATATTTATATATTGAATATATAGAATTATATATAATTATGTATGATTATATCCAAATTTTTATATAAAATATATATAATCATATATAGACTATTATATTGTATGTATATTTTATATAAGTCTATATATAATCAGGTCTGAGTTATCTAGGTCTATATATGATTATATATAATCTATATATAATTAGATCTGATTAGACCTGAGTTATCTTGGGCTATATATGATTATATAAAGATCTATATATAATTAGATCGGATTAGACCTGAGTTATCTAGGGCTATATATGATTATATATAAATCTATTATAATGGGCTTTTCGCCGGCACTGGCGTCGACAGGGCCGGAGAGCACCACAAAAATTGGCTTACCTGGTTTCGAAGGTGGTTGGGCGTCAGGAACTTACCGTTCCAAGGTTCGAAGTCGTTACGGATCGTCATCGGGCGGCAGGTCGATGACGAAGAGATGCGAAATTTCGGCAATAGATTTCAAAAATCGGCGATCAGCAAGCTATTATATTTACGGGATCTCGGGGAGGGAGGAAGCAAATATTTAGTGACCGAGAATTCAATTGACAGTTTATTTTTTTTTCTTTTAATCGCCGATATAATTCATAAGTTTAGCAAGTTCGGATCAGAACGATTTACTTCTCGTCGAGATAGCGGCAATAATAACACACAAAACAAAAAAAAAATAATAACTGTGATAAGTCGACAATTCGCTATTAGTAAAATAATAAAATAGAATATAAAATATTATTACTATTCTTCAGTGACCTACTCAATTAATCGATACAAAAATTAATCGGAATCGGAGTAACGCAAAACCAATAAAATTGAGAACAGAAAATTAATTAACCTCAAATCGGTTAATAATTAATTATACGGCGGGTAACAAATTATCCTATTAAACTATTTATCCCTTCAACAATTCACAAAACCCGAGTTCCTAATTTATTTCTAAAATTCCTAATCTTAATCTTAAATTAAAATCACTAATTTACCTAATTAAATGTCGTGGTCTTAATAATACAACAATAAAATATTTAATATCAAGAGGTCTTCTTATCTTGTATTAATAGGTTAAAATCTATTGACAGAGGTCTTAATAATCTGCCAACAATGTGTTGGTTACTTCCGAGTGTTTACAATTTTAATTTCCTGAATTTACTTAACTTAATTTTATAAGTTGTTGTGTTAAATTATTTTACTTTGTCTAATTTATATTACTAGAATTTATTAATTATTTTCCAAGTTATTTTAATTCATTTTACCAGAATCTATTAATTTATTTTATTTTAATCCGAACTTATGCAATTATTTATTTTGTCCAGATTATTTAATTAAATCATTTTATTTAATTAAGATATTAACTTTCAATGACTAAAATTTTATCAATTAATTTCATGTAAGTTATTTTTACTAAACTGTTTGGCTTGTCCTTCAATAATCGAGTTTTTATTTTCTCTATACTGATAGAAAAACCATCTTGATTCAAGAAATTTTTTTTCTTCAAAACTTGAACTCTTGAAACTAGATATAGATATATTTCTTTCAAGAATTTTTGTCTCTTGGTTCAAGATAGGCGATAACATTGATTCAAGATGTTACCGACTTGTGTTAAGAATGGCTTTTTTTTTGAGTCATTAATTTACTTATTTCCAAGAAATAATTTTCATTTGGTATAATAATTAAAGACTATTTAGTTATTGAAATATATTTTGATGAATTATTTTAAGTTTTTTAAACGATAATGTTATTTTGATTAAAAAACTTAAATGTATCGATTGAAGATAATATAGCTCTTAAGCCAAGAAAATCTAAATCAAGACAAGAAATTCTTAAAGCAAAATAATCATTTGTCTTCCAAAATAAATTCTTAAATCAAGAAAATATCTCTTGAGTCAACATAAATTTTCTATCAGTGTACGTTATTTTATTTTACGTTCTATTGTGTTGCACGAAAAACTTAGCATTTATTTTATTTTATTTGAGGATTATATTCTGCCTAGCAACACAGTACGATTTTAGTCTCGACTTTGAATGTCCTCTACTCAGCGCTTCGCGCGGGACAAGATGGCTGACGCTCTCGCTCGGTCTGGCGTCTTTGTCGCACATTTTTGGTAATTTTTTTTCTCAACGAAATTTTACAAGTTTCGTTTTCGACTTTTAATTAATAAATTTACATGAACAATTTTCTTGCAATTTTGACTGATTCTAAATTCATTTCCAATGATTTTATTTAAACAATTAAATTTTATTATAAATTATTTTTTTCGAATTTAATAATTTTTTTTACTTCAAATGATTTTACTAAAATTCCTCTAAAATATTTTAATGAATTTACTTTAAGCAATTAATTAAATAAATCCGACCGAACTCGATTATCAACGACAATTTGTTTTGCATGGCACCAAAGTCATAAATTGTTTAACCGAAATTATTCCTGGTAAAGTCAATCCAAGCTCTGCCTAGGTAGTAAATTAACAATCCGAAATAATTCCTGGTTTTGTTAATTAATTATTTAGTAATTATTTTTGACTTGCTTTTAACTTTAGTCTAATTTTTATTCTGGACTTTTCTCTTAATTAAATTCTTAAATAAACTCTGCCTCTTATTTTCAATAAATTCTCAACCTTTTCTAAATAATATTTTAAATAATATCCCAAATAATTTTCCGAGTAAATTCTAATAAATAAATTTCCATATAATAATTAAGTGAATTCTACGACGCAAACTTAAACTAATGATTGTGAACGAACGCGAAATGGCGGTGACCTTCAGCCGACTTCAATGCCTGGCTGATGCCGCACCACCGAGAGATTATTGAGACATTTTATTTGTACCTGGAGTTTTTCTCTTTAGGACGCTAGTGAACTCCCTCGAAGAGCAGCAACTCCTTCACGTCTGTACTGGTACAAATTCCTCCTCGGTGGAAAACTCTGCTTGGCAGCGAGACCTCGGTCACCGTCACTCGTCTCTCCGAATATTTTATGAATCTGAAACCGCAATCAAGCATTAGAAATTGTTAAAATTTAAGATCAATTTACGCAAGCCGACTGAAGGCCTGGCCAGCAATAAATTAATAGATTTGATCGCTTCGTTCCACTGTACGAAAGGCGACAAAGAAATAATTACTTGCTTAATGATGTTTTTACTAAATTTGCGTGTCCACGTGGTTTGGCGACTCGGTCACAATGACTCTTCTCAGCTTTGTCGGTGCGTTTCTTTCTTCGCTCCGTCTTCCCCACTCACTCTCCGCGCCAGCGCTTCCCTCTTGGGGACTTACTCACTAACTTACAGCTAGAGGCGCGAGTACTTCGGAGCACAGCGCTCTGGAGAACCAGTCGATAACTAACTCACGGATCGGAAACCTTCTCTGGGTAAAGAAGGCCCCGTGTACTCCGTTACACATTCTCTGTTTTCATCTCAGAGTCTGCTACTCAAATGATTAATAATCTTTTAAACTATAGCTTTTTGTAGATGAAATAATGGAACTGTATTAATTAATTTAACTTATAAAAATCGATTATGTATTCGATTTGAATTAGTTGTAGGTATTTCAAGCTTTACTCTTCCAGTAAGTCTCGTAGGTAAACAGGTAGTGTGTTGGTCTAGTCTTAACACGGATGCCGTACAGTGCCCATCGTGTGTTGTTTATTCCTACGTGTTTCTGATAAAATCGATCGCCCTGTGCAGTGAATCTTTTGAGAAAAGTGCCTAAAATCACTGAAAACAACAAACTATTAAGTGAAAAGTGGTGAGTGTTGGTTTCCTATGTGCCAATATTAAAAAAGAACTCCATTAATATAAAGCAAATAATCACTGACAAAGTCTTTGCGAGCATCGCCGGCTCGCCATCCAAGATGGCGGCCAGCAGCAGCCTCAAACGCAAAGCACACGCTGAACTCGTTGCACCTACTCAAAAAAGCACCGGAAGATCGCAAATGAGCAAAAACTCATTTACGCTAGAAGAAGCTTTCAAAGCATGGGAAAAAAAACAAAAGAATGACTCAAAAAATCATAACAAAGTTCCACCTAACTTGAAATTTGCGGGACGACGCAACCATCATTCCACTGTTGATAATGAAGGCTTCATAGAGCCAAGAAAGTCTGTCAAGATTACCTCTGCAAATAATTCAGAGATGGCGACACCAACCACTTCAAACCAGTACCAGCCAACTTGGCTACATTGGTTAAACCAACGCCTTGTATTTTATATTACTTTAAAAAAAAAAAAAAAAAGTACCAGCCAACGCCAAAACAATGATGAAAATGACCAAACTCCAGAGGCACAAAAAACAAATGAAACTAGTCAGCAGAGTACAGAAACTCAAAACGCTAAATCCTACAGGCCTCCTCCTATTGATGTTCAAGGAGAAAAAGTAAGTGTTACGATCAATACATTAAGAAGCATCAACCTGGACCAAGAAACCTTCATAATAACAATGTCAAAAGGTTTACATTCAGTTCAAGCTCGAAATCAGACAACATATGAAACAATTAAAGCGACTCTCAAAATAAAAAATATTCAATTTTACACTTTCCCACCAAGAGCTGAAAAACTCAAATCTTTGCTGCTCAAAGGTATGAGCGAAGACATTACCACGGACCAAGTTCTAAAAGACTTGACCGAAAAAAATATTCGATTCGTAGAATTTAAAAAAGTTACAGAGCTAAAATTTAAGCGTGATGATGTACCTAAAAGGCACCTGATCGTACAAGTAACTCAAACCAGCGGCTTAAAAGAGCTGTTCAAAATTAGACAAGTTCTCAATCTGAAAGCCAGATGGGAACGACTAAGAAGAAATAAAGTGCTCCAATGTATAAAGTGCCAAAGGCTAGGTCACACCGCAGCGAACTGTGAAATAGACTACAGGTGTGTTAAATGCGGCAACTCACACTTGCCAAAACAATGTCCACTGAACGGCGAAACCACCAGAGCTAACTTCAAATGCGCAAACTGTGGCCAACCTGGGCACCCGGCTAATTATGCTGGCTGTAAGTTTATAAAATTTCAAAAAATACTAAAAAATGAAGCTCACACGCAGAAAAGTGAATCTCTTGAAAGAAAGATAGAGTTGATAAACAGGAGAATAAATCCACAAAATTCTTATGCCAATGCCATGACATCTCAAAGGGATTCATTCCCACCTCTGTATTCAAGAAATCAGACCAACATCTCTACGTTCCAGGGAGACCCCCTACCTCCTCCTCCTGTGAACACAACGTCACAGACCTACAGACTCCAGCCGCAGTACCACCAGCAGCAGACACAGCAAACCAATAATTCTGAACCACAGCAAAATTGGGCAACAAAAATCACAAATGAAATTAGTGAGCTAACCAATGCTATAAAAGAAATGAGTGTCAACTTAAATCGCAGCATAACGACCAACTCGCGGAAGATCAATTTCCTATTTGCCTATCTCAATCTCCAATATGAATAGTAGGGTGATTCATTTCCGCAAAATTTTTTTTTTTTTCGGTGCTCATGAAAAATATTAATCTACATATAGAAAAAAAAATTCCTACCAAGTTTGAGCTCTTAATATTAATTTTAAGTACTTACAATAAAAATTTAAAGTTTTACCATTTAAAATGCTTGTAAAAAAATTTTTTTTTCTTTCAAATTTCTAATGCTTAGCCGGCTTTTACAATATTGCAAATCGGTTTGATGGACCTTGTGGGGAATTTCACGTTCTTCAAAAAAGCCTTAAAGATTTTTTGTGTAACTCGCAATGGTTCACCGGTAGGAGTCGTCAAAGTACAATTTTTGAAAAAAATATAATTTCTTTCAATTTTTCGAGCAAATCACCAATGGTAGGAAGAAAAAAAGGACTGACATAAAAAAAA